TTGTCTGTTCGCTGAAAGATCTATTTTTCAATGTGTAGTTGCGATAAGCCCCGTTATGTGTAACATCTTGTACGTGGAGGCTTTGATCCTTCCAGAATATAAAAAAAAATTCAACTTAATCCTACTTTCTTACAAGGCGATATGTCCAAAAAAAAAAAGGAACGTCACTGTGTGATCGTGCTACAGTACCGAACATTCTGCTCAACCTTGTAACCAAACCCGGGGCACAGACACGTTTTCCAGCACGATAAGGAACATTTTCCAATAACTATTGCAATTGCCACAATAGGTCACCCTCCTCTTGTATAAGTAACGAATCACCGAAACCGGAAAGATAGTGTGTGATGTTATCGCAATAGGCGCTGCCGGGAAAAAACCCAAATTCAACGACAGACGATCACGTGGTCAAGTTGGCGGGGCCGACCAGAGGTGTCGGTCAGTTTTCGTCCACTCATCGCTCGCTTACTGAGGCTGCGTGGATTTCGTATTTCGAGCAAAGGTCCGGTTGCTATAGCTACCGGAGATAAACCGGTCTCGTCTTGGAAATTTCGTCGGGCCTTCGATATACATCCGCTTGCGTTGCCGGGCTGAAGCGTGTCCGCCATTGCTGTCTGGTCGACAGCGTGCGTGCGTGCAAGTCCAGATGTGACGCCATTTTGAACACGGCGTGGTTTACGCAGTGGTCGACATGTAAAGGTGCCTCATTTCGTTCATAGTGCATTTGCGAGCTTCATCGCTAGCGAGTGAGTTGCCTCGGAATTACACCTCTCATTAGCCTAGGAAGATTTCACAGCTTGGCGAGTTGGTACGACTTCGTCTTCCAGTAAACTGCTCTGCCGACAACGGCACGACCTAGATTAGCGCACGTGTATCGCGTATCCTTAGATTCACGTGTCCCGTCTCCTGCGCAGTTATCTAGAAGATTAATCTCGATAACTTTACAATATTGTATCCCACAGAAAAAGATATATTCAGCTAGATTTGAAAGCAATTTTGTTTGAAATCTGATTACGCTTTTCTCGCCTAATAGTAAACTTGCGCGCACAGATGTAAGTTAACGCGTTATGCCTAGGCGTAATCAGTAATAAACTTTTCGTTGAATGGAGGGACAAGAGGTTATCATAATTGCCTCGCCACAGGCTTTAGACGTATTGCTACGTCTAATTTCGAGCTCGCGGATTCGTCTCCAAGCCCAAGTATTTTGAAGGGGGCGAAACGCGTCTGCACGTAGATTTATGTGCGCCGTATGTCACAGAACGAGCGCTCAAAAAGGGCGCGCCGCCAAATTCTCGCGACGAACCGCCGGAGTGACGCCGCGAGGTCAACGAAAAAGAAAGAAAAAGAAAGAAAAAGAAAACAAACATCTAAAGGCTCCCCGGGCGCGCGAGCCTCTTCTCTCGGAAGCGTGGCTTCGCCGACGAACCTCCTCACCCCACAACGGCGGCCGAGCAAGCACTGGAAAATTCTAGGAGGAGAGAGGCGTGGTCACGCCAGGTTGAGTCATCCGACGCGGAGGGCATTCGAACCGTCTCGCCCTCTCCCCAGCCTTCGCTGCGTATCGCGCCGACGAAATGACGAGAACCTTCTGGAATCTCGCGCGGAAGGTATTTAATCGAGCGGCCGAGACGAGAGAGCAGGAGAAGACGGAAGTTAGCGCCAGAGCGCGTAGGGATTCCGCCGTGTAGTCGGCGAAGGTTTTGTCGGTAGGGACAAAGCAGGAGAAGAAGAGGATTTCCACCTGAGGGGTGAAGCACGAGCTACAGGCAAGAGCGTGTGTTTACCGCTATGGAGCGAAGACGCGTGGCAACAGCTGCGTGTGTGAAGCCGACGTGTTTCCGGCGAAGAAGTCTGAAGCTTGAAGAGTGGCCTATTGAAGACGTGAGGTTTCCTGGAAGAGAAACTTCGGCGAGGTTTCCTGGAAGAGAAACTTCGGGGGCTGCGGAACGACAACAACGCTGGACTTTGAGCGAGTGATTCTCGGAAGAGTATCATCCCGACTTTCGTTCCAAGAACTTTGGACTGAATAGGTTTTCTATCTCTTTAGTCTTTAAGTGTCTTGGTTGTTCAATGCATGCGACTGCATTGTAGTGCGTATTGTTGTCTGTGTCCGTTGTTTCGAGTGTAGCTGTTTGTACTGTGTAGTACGTTGTTTGATTGGTGACATATTGTATGCAACTATTGTGGCGTGTGCATTCTTGTGTATTGTTTTCGATCTGCCATTATTGAGAATATAGCATTGTTTGTTTATTAACTCTCGGCTCTGACTTGTTCTTTGGGCCACAGCCGGCGTCCGCTGGCGCGCCAAAAAGGACCACTTCTAAATTGTCCACGCTTTCGTGGTGCGGTTCGGGGGGCTGATACTTCGGCCCTTGGAATTAGCCCGGCGATCGCCTCCCGAAATAACGGGACCCGTGACACCGTACTTGTTCCAAATTTATGCAGAATTGTTTGAATTAGCGTGCGTCATGTTCAACGTGTTTCTAGCAGCGCTCTAGTTTCTATAACTGCCTGTTATCACTTTATTGTGGAATTAATATTTTTGCGTGGATGCATGGCTGGGGATGCTATTTTCATTTTCTTAGTTTTTTTTACTCAATATGTGTGTGTTACTTTTTGATTACAAGTATTTTGTTATATGGACAGGTTATATAGAAACAGAATGCTTCTAAATATCACGATAGGTTTGCTTTATTTTCTGTTAGCTTGTCCACCTTGCGGCTCCAAATGGCCTTTAAAACTTGAAACTATGTTGTTTCCCACCCGTATGTACTTTGTGACCTGAAGCGTCTCTCATAATCATATAGTAGTTTTGGGACGTTAAACCCCACATATTAAACTTTGTGACCTGAATATAGTGTAAGTACACATTAAATGAATAAACAAATGAATTTGTCACGAATCGTGATAGCCCAGCAGTTAAGTGCATAACCATCCCAGCTAGTATGTGAATGCTGGGTGGAGCAAGCCATTATTTACCCTACTATATATGTTGGCATACCAAGCTGTTTACTTTCTGTTTATTCGATTCACCGAGCGCATGAATACACAATATCAATGCTCATTGAGCACGTTCTCATTTGGCCTTGTCTAGCGTCCTCGTACATTACTTATGACTTAGAACTGCATTCGTTTTTGGCCTGCTGAATGCAAGTTATCTTTTGTAATGTGGAGTCGAAATGAGGCCTCCTGATTGATACTTAATATACCTGCGTTTATATTCCTTCTAGAGTTCGGAGATTTACTTTTTACATAAGTCTGCTGTTTGCCAAGGCGATTCGAAAAAAGAACCTCATGATGTGCGTGTGCATTCGGATATACAGTACCAAACATTCTGCTTAACCCTCAGTGCAATAGCGGGAACCTATCATTTCCGTCTGCAGAAAGGAAATTCCCCAACGTCAACCATTGCAGCTAGCGCAAAATATGGTCACTCATATACTGCATAAGTACTCGTAATCTCGAAGAAAATTGGGTAACCAGGCTTTCGAAGAGTGGATGTACTTGTACATTGGCGTTCGATTCGGGTCAGTTGTTTATGACAGCATCTGGTCAGTAATTTATGACAGCAATTTTTCTCATTTTGAGAATGAATCTGGTTATCCAAAATGGGAGCCAATACGTTCTTTCTAGGTTCTATAAAGAAGTGATTACCGCTTCAATTATTCAGGTGTTTCGTAAATGTTCAAAAAAATATTGACAGATAAATGCATCGAAACAGTCCCCTGCGGACTCGTCCGGGACATTGCTCAGCGCTCTTGCATATATTGATGCGTGAAAATATTTTTCTTTATATTATACGCTTTTTAAAAATACGCGCATACTCAGGGACAACGTTGCTACTGGAACATTTCGACACGAAAATGCACAGCCAAGTTGACACAAAAAAAAAACGGTTGATACATGTGGGAAAGTAAGCTTCATTTGAATAGACAAGTGCTTTGAAGACTCAGAAAAGGCTCAACTGCAAGTGGTGGTGCTCTGTGGGAATGGGGTGCACACTACCTTCCTCTCTACAACTGGAGAAAGGGATGCCCTGTGGCGTTTGCTTCGGCTGTTTATTTGACAAATTTTTGTTAATTCGATCGCGAGGCGGTGCCTTTATGAGACAGCCGGACAGATTTCTCCCACTTAAGAAACGCCCTCACGAGTCGTCGGGACATGTGTTCTACTTTTATTTTTGATAAGCTACTTACTGGTTTTTCGCGAAATTTCTGTGATTATATTTCGTAGTTTAAATAGCAATATTAGTGCCACAATTGACATGGCCTTGCCTAAAGGAGAGAAGCTTCAAAGGGCTAATATAGGAGAACTGTCAAATGAAAATGCGCCCACGAAGCCATGATAATAAGAATAGCAGAAACTAGGCACGCCGACCGAGTCAAATGCAGTATCCCCACTTTGCACTCTTGTAATCACCTATCAACTCATTATGAATGCCCTGGAATATTTTATTTATTTACACAATACTGTAGACCTTAATTGGGTCCATGCTGGAGGGCAGCAAATACATAAATTCACAGAAACACAAGTTTAAGAGGCCAAAAGAAAAAGATAACAATACCATCAGAACAAAACTAACGTAATGATAGAGAACTTAATGCGCACGCATGAACATTAGATAAGTCTAATACAAGATCGAAGACAGCAATAGCACCTTTTAAATACTCAAGAAAAGTAACAGCAATACTAAGGAAGGAAGAATTAATCAATGTGACATTGTTAAAAACATTAAATCGATATACGTTGAATAGAACCCGAGTTTATTATTTGCGGTGCCTCCGTGTTATTCCACTCGTTTAGTTAGTGAGAAGGAAAGCTTAAACAGGCTAGTTCAGGCGCTGCATGGCGTTAGATGATCATGACGATGCCTTGTTCATTGAGGTTCGTGGCATTCACCTATGTATGAGCAGCCTGCAGTTTTAAAGTAGGCTTTGTGTAATTCACTTTCTTGTATTTTTCTGCTTCCTTATCTTAGGTTATCAATGCTGCTAAACCTGCAGGCACATTTCGGCTGACGCTGGTTTCTCAACTGTACTCGGTGCTCGGCATGAATGACTGGGCACAAGCTATCGATTATGTCAACTACAACGCTCCCATGAACGGTCAGTGCTACAGAAGTGCTATGAAACTTTTCAAGTGACTCGCGTGTTGTTTTGCAATAGGCATTAGAAAGATTTTAAGAGAAGGCAAACGTAGGAAGAGGAAAAATTTCTTTGAGCCATTTAGACTGCAAAATTCACATGTACAAAAAGGCACCAGAAATCGCAAGGCTGGGTTGATATGGCGAATCATAGCTTTCACTCTTCAGTAGGCGTAGTCAGGCTGACGATGACGAATAGCACATTAGCCCTACACCCAAGCCGAATAGAGGACTTGACATGTTTACGAACAATTTTTTTTTACAAATGCTTCATTGGTTTGTCAGTGGTGAGCGTGTTAGGTAATTTTGCCTCGTAATTTGTGCAGTCAAAAACAGAAAAGGAAGGTAACTTTCGAGCACTTGGTGGTAAAACATCCATTTTGAAATCCTTGTAGATCTCTCGTAGAATCATCCGCTTGCAGATACCACGGATGGAGACTAACTGTAGTTATCTCTTCTGGACTGTTGTTAGCAGTAAGCGTACCTTGGCCTGACAGCTCTCGACCCTTTCAGACGCCAATTATTAAGAACTGTCTGTAAACAAGTCAAATAACTATAACGTCACCTCAAGGCACTCAATATTCTATTGCAACAAAAATAACGAGATAATTGTGGAGTTTGTGTGTGTCTTAGCAACTCGTTTTGAGTTGCAAATAAGTATCTCTTTATTCTGAAGTCATTGGTGCTTACGTTTTGCATAAGTAGAAACAAATCTCAGTCTAGAAATATAAATTTTTTTTGGTTATGTCAATTATGAACAAGGAAAATTTGATTTTCACAATGCTTGCAGGAGGCAGCACGTTGCACAACTCGTCAAACGTGGTAGTGCCTTCAGAAAAGTGATCATATGTATCGGCATACTGCAATAAGAGAGTAAATGAGACAAATTATTCACGCAAGAGGTTCAAGTCAACTAATACTCGATATATCTTGCTGTTTCTTAGCTTCTACTTGATGCAAATAATGAAAACTAGTGGTGTACACAAGTGTGAACATAGCGTCTAAAAGGGGTTTGAAGTAGTTTCTGTGACGACGGTGTTAATGACCTCTGTAAATATAATGGGGGAACGCTAACGAAAGTATAGCCCGTAAAAAAATAAAAAAATCTCGTAGTGCAGGAATATTTGTAGCATTTCGTGTCCCACTCGCGCTCTATTTCAGGTTTTTGTTTCTGCTGAAGTGTTACGCCTATTTTCAGTAATGGACCTGATTCTGTTGAAGCAGACTTTCATTAGGCACGGCGCGCTTGTAGGCAGTTTGTAGTTCACAAATGTGTCTTGGATGGGTCAGGACTAAACAAGGCGCTTATTGTAATCGGGCTCTAGATGGACGACGCCAATCTCGGTGCGAGTGTCGTTGATCCCACTGCGATTAGCGTTTGTGCTCCCTTTATTTTTCTCAAACTAGCATGTGCCGCTTTCTTCTTGCCACTTGGTAGCAAAGTTATTTGCAGCCGCCTTTAAGCGTCACCATGAGCAGGTTGCACAGAGAGAACCAGAGGTTCGTTTGCTCTTGGGGTGGTCTGTCAGTTAGAAAAAATGTATAGATGCCTCAGAGATGGGTTGTTTAAAATATGCATGTGTTATGGATTCTATCTTAGATATTCTCAGTATCTTACATCTGCATCGCGATAAGTGTCGTCAAAGGAGTGTCTGCCTCTGTATTTTTTCGATACGTTCAATAATGTATCGCGTATGTTAAAATACAAAATACAGCTATTGCGACAGCAATATGTGAAACATCAATCACTGACTGAACTGCTGACAGCTGACTGAGCCTTGTGCCTTCATTTAGTAATTTTTGTATGATCAGAATCATTTCAAAAAAATATTAACACCACTCGCCACCAGCTGCGCTGCAGTAATTTGGAGCCTTGCGATTGTCTGACAGTTTTGTGAAGCTTACGTTCTAATTCCTGTCGCAGCAGATGCATTTCAACCGAGGGGAATTCTGCAGGAGCATGCTCTCAAATTTAATTGCATGTTAATGAACATCACATGGCCAGATGTTTCGGAGCCCCTATCTACGGCGTAACCCATCTTAGTATCGTGGTTTGGTGACGTAAAACCTCACAGAAAATATCGACGTTTCGTATAGTGCTTGAGTGTTCCAGAGTATATATAGCAATATCTCTGAAAGGTTATTACTGACGCATAAAACGCAACGCGTTGCACCGGTAATCAGATTAACGACTGCCGACGACTTTCGACGTATGGCATCGTTTTCGTGTTTTTGAGTAAATAAATTTTGTGGCACACGTTTGCCCAATGAAGTTCATTGTCCGTATAGCATAATGATCATCATTTTTTTTGTCACCATCACGAGACAATACAGAAAGTCTCGGGCACTTGCGTTGTGAACGACATGTCTCGTTTAAGACAAAAATAGTAAATGATTAAACGTTAGTGAAGACAGCCAGACTAAATCCTTTAGGATGACTGCCAGTTGGGCGTGTTACTCTAGCAGATCATTCCTTTACTCTAGCAGATCATTCCAATAGGAAAAGTCAATGCAATTTGATGTGTTGTAAACACAAGGCACAAGAAGTCTCTACCAGTAATGCTGCTGCATTACAAGCGATCATTTTTTTTTTACCCGACTGCGTCAGCATGTACCGCAGATTCAATAAGCGCCTGTTCTCCAGGCCTGGACAAATATACTTAAAAATTCTATCGTGATACAATACAAGGTACTTCCGGAGAAATCGAAACCAATGTGATATTTCCGTGTTGTATCGTGGGATATATCAACACATTTGCAATTTAGCTGTCCTTAATAAACACAACGCTGAAGTGTTTATTTGAAAAAAAAAATTCCTGTAATCTTCTCTATTTTATTTCAACAAATTACCTGTTTATCATATTTCATTTATTTTCGCAAAAAATATCAAGAGAAAGTTCTATCTGAGAGCTTGTTTTAATTTAGTATGTCTTGGTGCATTTAACAGCTTCAGTACCACGCTTTGCCCACGTTGACCCCTATGCTTGATCAGCACACTTGCATACCCGCCAATCTGGGGATCTCGAATTCGTAAGGAGGTGGGCGTGCACACGCAAGAGTGGCATAGGCTAATAAATATAGCTTCAGAGGATTGCAGCGCCCTCACACACAGCTAGTAAATGATGTCCAACAAAGTTCTCAAATGCCAGTATGCCTACTGATGCGTGCCACTATTCGCGCACGCATGAAGACTCATAATTTGCTGGGTTATTCACATGCAACGTAACATGTAAGCGCAACATAAAACAAGAATAAATCTTTAGAGCATTTCCAATCTATCTTTTTTTTGCACTAGAGTAAGCGATAACTCGACTCGAGAGCTCATCACCACGTCTGTACCACATTTAACTTAAATTCCAGAGCATCGCATTAGATTCTGGAAGGTTCACAGGCATGCACTTTTCGCGTTTGATTTTTTCAAGATCACAAGCTGGCTTTTTCAACAATAGTTCCCAATCCAAAGGGCTCTCTTTATGTGGTTCCCAGTGCACACTTCGTTGATTGCTTGATCGGAGGCACGCAGCTTGCGGCTTGCAATAGCTTCAATAAAAGGCGTTGACAGAGGAAACGCAATACGCCGCACTATACTAGTTTTCCTTGCTTGCTTATCCACCACGCAATAAATGATTGCCGTGACAGACACAATAGCTCCTGTACGCTCTAACTACGTCTCCGTAGAAGACGCACAAATGCACATCCAGTACAATGAAGGTGAATCGTAGAATAATGCACCACCGTCAGCTTGCAGCATGCTCTCGCAGGTGCCGGCTAGGCTGCCTCGATGCTCGTGTCCTCGTGCTCTATTAAGGCACTCGCATCGGGACACCATATATTGTCTACAGCACATCAAATGGTCACCTTTTGATAGTGATTGTGAGACGCACTCACCTCGAGTCGGAAACCACGACTCATGGGCTTTGAGCTAAGGAGGTAGTACATAGCCTTGCGATGAACCAAAGAGCTTATACAAAAAAAGCTCTAGAGAGGAAGTCCCGGGTGCCGCCAAAGGGTGCAAGGAAAAGCACTGGCGGCCATATTGCGAGAGGAAAACATGCTGGCGTGACGTCATACGACAAAGCTATACGCGCGGCGCATCCGTTGGTTGGCACTTCCACGATAAAAGATGGAATTTCCGATAAAGTTGCATCCACGAACAACTGCCTATCCTCAGTTACGAAAAAAAAAAATTTGTCGTCAAGACTTTCGGAATAAGCTGTTGTTGAAGGAATGCTTCATATATATAGAGTGCGCTTGCACACTGTGAATACTTGTTATAAGGAACTGTGTTTTGTATTTCAAAGGCATCAGCGTTCGCGGCATAACCATGGACGCTAATGTGAAACACAGTTATTCACTTTTTACTAGCACACAGAAACAAGAAAATTTGGGGGAGTTGAGGTTTTTATCTTTTTTTAAATGAAGCGCGTATTCTTCACCGACGCGAAAAACAGAGCACTCGTCTTGAGTTTTTCCTCTCCGTTTTCTCATAGTTACAAATGCTCGAGACGCTTGACATAATTTCATTTCACCGGAACTTACGTACGCACATTTACTCATCGTTGACGAGTTTGAGGGGTCGTCTCTTCCATGCACCCTTACTCAAAAATACTTTTTCCACTTTTGCGGTTACAGTTGAGCTGCTCAAATATTTAAATTGCGTAAATGACATTTGTGCTGGCAGTGCCATATCACGGAACTACGTCTTAGGGAAGGCCTATGCAGCTATAACGCCGCATTCTTAGTTGCCCTCCTCGTGCTTCTCGTACAATACTTAGAGGTTCAAACAGTACTTTTAATTTTTGTCTGTTCTTAAAAAATTATAATTTGCAACGTGTAGTTATATTAGGCTTCCTGTTGTATACCTACTTATACCTGGTTGCTTTGTTCCTTCCAGAGTATAAAAAAATGTATTCCGCTTGAGTTTACTATTCTTACAAGGCAATTTGTCAAAAAAAAATAAAT